TGCTTCCCCAGGATCCCAGCCTGTCCCCCTGCCCTTGAGTGCGCTGTGCGGGGCCAGGCCGACAAGCACATGGCTCTGGTCATCTTGGCCCTCACGGCCTGTGTCAGCATCCTGGTCTGCCTAGGCTATGGGGGCGTGTGGGTAGGCCAGGCCACCTGTTGCCATGGGAGACAGGAGGGGGAGCGGGCCCTGGAGGTGGGACGCATGAGGGAGGGGAGTATGTGCTGTGATGGGTGTGAAGATGGGGAGATGGGGGAAGGCAGGGTGCTGAGGGGGGACTGGGAGAGTGGGGAGTGGGATGCCGGGACGGGGGTGAACGGGGAATGGAAGGAGTGGGGAGAGGTGGGACTAGAGGATGAGAGGGGGGACCAGGAATGGAGTCTCCTGGGAGGAGAAGGGAGGGGGCTGGTTAGAGGGGCAGGAGGGGAGCAGAGGTGTAGGAAGGGAGTTGGGATGGAGGGGGGAATGGGTGTGGGGACTGGGGGTCTACAGGGATTGGTCTGAGGTGGAAGGAAAGGGGTTGGGGGATGGGAGTGGAGGCAGGGGGCAATACTAGGGAACGGGGAGAGAAAATTTTTCAACATGCCCTTTTTGGGGGAGAAAAACTTGTGACTAGCTACAGAGATCTGCGTCTCGTCGGCCGGGAAGGGCTTGAAGGTTCGTGATACAATTTTCTAAATGCCTGAAATTATTTCAGGGAAGACGCCCCATTAGCCAGAGTTACTAGGGCCAGGATTTCCACGGCTGTTTCGGTGGCATGAGTGTGACTGGAGAAGTGTGTTTGTGGGGGGAAAGACTGGCCCAGCCCCCCATTGGGGAGACGTGGCCAGGCCAGATTTGTCGGGTGACAGCCTGCCACATGGGGTCCTAATGCTACAGAAATGTGGCTCCCTCCGAAGAGGCTCTGTCATTATGACACCCAGCTCTGGTCAATAGCTAATGGGGTCCCCCATATGCACCCCGCCGAGTGCAGGTCATGAACTGTGGGGGGAATGATCGTTTGGGCTCCGGTCTCCAGAGCCCCTGCTAATCCCCTTAGTCCAGTCCGAGTATCCATGTAGGTACCTACCTACATCTTCATCTGAGTGGACCCTGAAGAATGGGAGTGTGATCTTGTGGGTTACAGCAGGGCGGCTGGGAGCCAGGACTCCTGGGTTCTCTCCCCAGCTCTGGGAGGGGAGTGCAGTCTAGTGTTTCAGAGCGGGGGGAGGGGGGAGAAGCCAGGACTCCTGGGTTCTCTGGGGGTGGAATGGAGTCTAATGAACGTTCCTATCAGCCTGTATTGGAGCTGCCAAATTTGCCCCAAGGAGCCATCCAGGGAGGTAATTTCTTCACTAGTCCTGAGTTTTTATGACCTTCCAGGGAACAAAGAAGCAGTGTTTGTCATCCTGCTGTAGGCCTGAGACCGGATTAGCGCCCCCTCTCTCCCCATATTAAAGCAGCAATGGGTGAAACTCAGGGAGTTCACCACTAAAATTAAAAAAAAGAAAAAGAAAAAGAAAAAGAATGTTCTGCTGCTTATAAAACACCCCCACCTCAGGAATGTCCCTAATGAGAGTTATAACCACCAAAGTAGAGACGCCCAGGCACTGGGAAATTAGGGCGGCTACAGAAAG